CTCAATTGAATAACTGTGGGTTGGTACAGAAAGCAACACATATGCACAGATAGCCAGACGGCAGTACTGACCTTGTCGTCGTGAAATGATTAATTTAAGCGTAGTCAAGTATTGCTGGAAGGCTTTAAGCTCACTTGCAGTTTAACTCCACTTAGTCACAAGAACCTTATCGGCAACGAAAGAGCAGACACATTGGTCAAGTCAGACGTTTCTCTAGACGAGTCCGAGGAAAAGTTAATGCCGTGTCTGCTAGAAACGATTAATTGAGAACTTCATGCACAATTTGAAGAAATAGCTCCGATCGGATGGCGATCAATAACCAAAAGTGGAGAAACGAAGCAGGTATTGAGGAAGTAGGATACAAGCAAATAAATACAGATTTACAGCTACTGTAATGGGGCATTGACCATTAGGAAAACATGGGCTATACCTGAATTTGGTAAAATAAAATTGCCGAAGCTGCAAAAAGGAATGAGTTTCCCATGAAAGAACCTTCACACAAAGTTTCCAGAGCTTCTAAGAAGTTACCATCGACGACGAAACACAATACCCCTCCAATTGGTTACAGCCGGTTACCTCAAGCCGATTGCATTCTTCAGACCGTCCAACTACTGGCACTATAGGCCCAAATTAAGTGTGTGGTCGTAAAGGAGTAGCTAACAATCTATGATCACTTGCCAATCCCAGCAAACGCACAACAAAAACCATCCTGACCGTCAATTCTGGTTTAGAGAACGTTTCAAAAGGCTCCTAGATTCAACAGCGATACACAGTTGGAAATGAGACTTTTTGCGTTAACTCATGTGGCACCAATACATTGGGCTTCTTTGTGTATCCATCATTTTTTAAGTCGTCAAGGTGATAGGCACGAAACCCCAATCGATGAGGATGGAAAATACGTTAAATTGCCTTACCATGAGGATGTTCGAATAGCAATCCCGAGCTTAAAAAAAAAACAACAAAGCGACTGGAGCTGACTACCTACCAGCTGAGCTACTCAAACATGGCTTCTTTGCAAAATATTGTGGGACATACAGTCATAACTTTGAAGTCCTATATAAATTCGTCTATCTTGAAATCAATATTAACACCAACAACAATGTCAGCCTAGAAATCCAACGCAGAATGACGCTTGCCAACGTGTACTACTTTCGACTGCAAGCCCATTTGAAAGCAAAGTTCTCGCTCGTTGAACAAAGACCAAACTCTGCAAGTTCCTCATCGTTGCCTTTCGGCTATATGATGCGGAGACATAGACGATGACAACATCTGATGAGTTAGCGTTAGGAGTTTTCTAGAGAAAGGTTCCGCGCAAAACTTACGGTCCGCTACGAGTTGGCAACGGCGAATACCGCAGTAGATGGGATGATGAGCTGTACGAGATATGCGGTGATATTGACATAGTTCAGCGGCTACACTAACTAGGTCCTGTGGTCCGAATGGATGAAAATGCAGTTTAAGAGAAAAGTCTCTACTCCGTTGGAAAGACCGGATGGAGAGGGACCTGGTTGGACTTTGTATCTCCAATTGACGCCAAACAGCAAAAAAAAATGAGTGGTGCAATGTTATAAATTCGGCTAAAGTAAGTAAGTAAAGAAACACTATTCACATTTTTAGCTACCTCACTTGCGTTTTCGCTTTCATTGGAGAAAATTTGTGGAATTTAGCTTATTTTCTCTTTGCTGACATCAATTTTCGACATGCAATCAAACACTACTAAATTAAGTGATTAACACGTCTTCCATTACTTTTCTTAGTACTAAAATATTGTCTTTATAGGACGCGAGATATAGAGCATTAAAACCCTCTATTGCAAAAATGATGGATTACTTTTTACTATACCATTGAAAAGCTGTTTGAAAAATTAAAAAAGAATTGCAAATAATTCTTATGAACGCAGAATTATTTTTAAATATTTCCTACCGGGCTTATAATCCCTTTCCACAAGCACCTGTGTATACATATATTTCTCTAAAAATTTCCATACTTTTTCTCTAATCCACACCATTTTATGCATGAAGTTTTATTACTGCCCGAAAATGCATATGAAATACGAGTATATACATATAAAAAAAATATGCAACAACTACACTTAAGCATATGCATCTAAATAAATATGTGCATATTTTATATGTAAATATTTATATATTGTACATACATATATTTCTCACATACGATTTTCTGTTGTAGTCATGGCAAGAACCTGTTGCTAGTATTTTTATGAACAAAAACCCACACGAATAAATAAAAATATATTTTTGGAAAGACATACACGTACATACATATGTACACATTTGTTTATCTAAGTACACATTTCCATACATATGTTATCAATATATCAAAATATCTGCATTCATAAATTTTTCATAAACACACACACACATATGTATACATAAATATTTATTAACTCTTCGCCTGCGTTAGTCTGATGAGAGATGAAATTTGTTTTTTTTTCTATTTTCTTTATTTATTTTTTACTTTTTGATATTATTTTTTTACTCATGCACTTTGATGCTGCGCTTTCAATTACAACATCGTCATCGTCTGAGCTATTATTATTGCCCTTTTTGTCCTTTCTTTTTTTTTTTTTTGGTTAATCCAGCTTTGTGGTGTTTGCTCTCTATCATAAATGAAAATATATATATTTATATCTTTATTGACATATATTTTCCTTTTATTACCACAAAATAATGTGTTGTGTGTTTAATTTCCTCTCAGGGTACTCTTATAGACAAACATATATAGTATCCTCGTATGTATACGGTGTGTCCCAAAAATAACCGAACTTTTAGGATATAAAATAAAATACAAATTATATTATCTTTGAAAGTTATTATTTATTCAAAATAGGTTCCATTTGATTCAACACAACGTTTGGAACGATCAACCAGCGTATGCAAAGATTTTTTTATGTCATTTATAGAAATGTTCTTCAGTACCTCGGTTACGGCTGCTTGAATGGCTGAGATATCATCATAAAATGCTCCCATTCATCTTGGTTTTCAGTTTCGGAAATAAAAAATAGTCACATGGTGATAGATCAGACGAATACGGAGGATGGTCGATGAGAGAAATTCCTTTTTTCATTAAAAATTCGAGCGATTTTTTGGTCGTCATTTAATTCATGTGGAACAAGTCGCGCACAGACCTTTCTTCTCCCCAAATCTTCAGTTAAAATTCTCCAAATAGTGTTTTTACCCGTAATCAATTCCTCAGCCAACATTCTCGTAGTAAAATTTGCATCGATACCAATGATTTCACGCACTTTTTCCACCAGTTCAGCTCGAATACTAGTTTCTGGACGTCCTGCTCTAGGGTCGTCATTTAAATCCTCACGACCATTTTTAAATCGTGTAAACCACGTAAAAACTTGCGTACGACTCATACAATCATCACAATAAACTTTTTTCCTTTTTTCATTAATTTTTTTTTAACTTTGACGCAAAATTTTATATCTGCTCTTTGTTCCATTTTATTTTTGAACCATTAGCATATTTCTGGTTTTATTGAAATTGCTGTCACTTTTACATCTGTCATCCGACTTACATGACGTTAGGTGCGTTTGAAAGAGGATGAATGTATCTTTTTAATGTTGCAAATTTTCAATAGATGGCGCTGTATGTTGAATGATTTATATATAAAGTTCGGTTATTTTTAGGACACACCGTGTATGTATATACCAACTGACTCAGTGAAGCGTCAGTGAAATGATGGAATACAAGTTGACTTTTCATGATTTACGGTCACTTATAATATTTTTTATGAAATTTTTCGGCTGCCGATTTGAAAGTGGAGAGAGAAAAGCGTGAGACAACGTCAAGATTGCGAGTAACACTTTTTGCCTTTGAAGAGGACTTTCTTGACGAAGTTCCTTAGTATATATTACACCACGTTTCGTGACATTACAAAGCAGTCTGCAGATTAGACCTTAACTTTCAACTTCGGAATCAACCAAAACTGGCCTACTTTCTCTCCTCAATGGGCTGCCTTAGATTATTTCGACCTTTTCCCCGCCTATACAGAGAACATTTTATTATTTAGAGGGTAATTTTTTAGCTATAATCTCTTTGGCAACACTGGTTTAAACAGCTGACGCACGCTTCGTGTTTTGTATTACTGTCAAAAATCTTCAGTTTGATTTATAATTTAACCATGAATCGTCTTACAAACGAACAACCCATGCAAATTTTTGACATTCAATATCAAAATGCGTGCTCTGTTAAGAAAGTTCATCGAGCGCTTCGAAGCTCATTTTTGGCTTAATGGGTGCGTAAATAAGCAGAATTGTCGATTATGGAGTGACAGTGGAGTTAACAGTGCATCCAGAAAAAGTCACAGTTTGGTGCGATTTATGGGCAGGTGGCATCATTGGATCGTACTTCTTCAAAGAAGATGCGAATCGTAACGTTACTGTGTATGGTGAGCGCTACCGTGAGATGACATCAAACTTTCTCTTGCCCAAATGTGAGAGCTTGGCTTGCATGACAAGTGGTTTCAACAAGACGGTGCCAGATGCCATACAGCACACGTAACAATGGACTTATTGAGAGGCCAGTTCGGTGAACATTTTATTTCACATTCGGCACTGGTCAATTGGCCGCCCAGATCGTGCGATTTAACGCCTTCAGACTATTGTTTGTGTAGCTATGTTAAATCGAATGTCTATATAGACAAGCCCGCCTCAATTGACGCATTAGAGGAAAACTTTAAAGCATTTATTCGTGAGATACCGGCCGAAATGTTGGAAAGAGTATGCCAAAATTGGACTAAGTGGATGGACCATTTGAGGCCCAGTCACGGTCACCATTCTCAAGAAAGAATATTTAAACTTTAAATTATATGGACCACACTGCCGATTCAACTAACGATTTTATGAATTTTTCTGAATTTTTTTTTTTTTTGAAAACTTTCCTATAACTCTTAAAAATCACCCTTTGCATACATATATTCGTACATTTTTATTTATAGAACAACAGTAAAAAAAATTGTATAAACTTTTTGTCATATAAATAATTATGAAAAAATATATTTCGAATACTTAAATCACTTATTAATCCTAACTATTCAATACCCATCACCAATGGAACACAAATTTCCTTAATTCTGCCTTGACTACTTTCTTCTATTTACTACCAACAGCCCTGCATAACAGATAACTGTTGTATGGCACCGCAACCAACCCGATTCTGCATATAATCTGGGAAATTACTCTGCAGCACCCGCATCGTGTTGCGATTGTAGTCAGGTACAGCGTGCGTTGCCAACTGACAGGTGTCGCTGCGGTAGACCGGCTTGAAATTCGACTGTGTGAAAGGCGTGGAGGTATCCCAACGATAGACCTCAGCATCGCCTTCATTACGGAAGAATATAGCCGAGCCATTATCCGTGCCGATAATGACCATGCGTGAGGGTTTCTTGCCCAAGTCTGTAAGAGTAGTTTTAGTTGAGTTATGTTCAATGATTAAAAATTGAAATTATGTTTTGTTTCTTTGTTTATATTATCTCACCCATTATACGCCCATCCGCCACACCACTACGCAAATACTCCGATTGCAGTGAGAAGAGATGATTTGTGCTCAGATAGGTGAAATACAACTCTGTTGTGCCACAATCCCTACGTATCAACGCAATATAGAGCACATCACGAGCGCGACAACCCGAAGAGACAGCCTTCGGTAATACCACGCGAAAACCACGATCGGCTTGTAGGTTATAAACGAGTATGGCACGATTTGCAGCATCGCTGACATACACGAAGCAGCTACCGTCGGGCGCGTAATCCACCACTACATATTGCAGACGTGAGTTTGGTGAGGTCAAACCTTCTAAGGAAATTGATTTCAACACTTTGCCAGTCTTTACGGAGAGCGCCACCACTTTTGCGGCACATTTACGTTCCGGCGTTTCGAGTGTGTTCACAATGCCCGTGTCCAACACCCAGAGCACCTCATTTTGATCAACCACCAAATCGACTACCGATTGAAAACCTTTGCAGGTGCTATCATCCTGCATATCCCAGCAGGGAAACGGTGAAAATTTAGCTTGACAAGCGCCCGGCTTCATGGTGGTCTTGACGAGCGTCGCTGGCACACCGTGTTTGTAGCGTGGCAGCGCAAGAAAGACCGTATCGCCTACAATCTGTGCACGCGTCGCAATCACATTTTTCGATATGAACTTTCCGGAGCTGCGGAAGAGCGAACGCGATGAGCCGGGAAACTCAAATTGCCCACCCGTCCACTGTATGGCGGGTATTGCAGGCGGTGGGGGCGCCACTTCGCTGCTATTCGGCGTTTCGCCATACTTGACAGCGGCGCCGTGCGTCCAAAGGCATGACGCGTAGGCAAAAAGTAACAGGCAACGTGTCCACATATTTAAAGCGCTAGCGATTTGGATTATTAAATTTCCTCTAATTTTATTTATTAAACTCTTTTTTAATTTTGATTTGGTTATTTTTTTTTTTGTTGTGTTTTTTATTGCATCCCACTCTTTGTCTTCGCCTGCTGCTTTGCGACTTCAGCATTAATTTTTATTTCAAAAGAATTTATTACTGTTTTATATGGCTTTGCATTTTGCTGGCTTCAATCCGTGCCCACACAAGTTCGCATAGCACCAGCACGACGTTGGCCGGCTGCAGACGTGACGCGCGTCATTGCGCTTTGCGGATTTCCATTTCCAATTTCACTGTCAAGGTCGTCGCCGTGAACGCTGACGAGAAGCGTGTCTGTCGGCGTGTATGATGTACACCTGTGCATATAAGTTTTAAGTTTTTTGTTGTTATTATTATTATTATTTATGTTTGAGTTTTGCGGTTAACATATGTTTGTATGTATATTTTTGCTAGCACAGCAAATGTGAAGATTTCCGTTGGTGGCACGCGCGCCAATCGCTTCTGGTACAAGTTGCGCGTACTTCCACTTCCACTTCTACTTCCGAGTTGATTTTTAAGAAGAAGAAGAAGCAATTCGAACTCGAAGAAAACCATCTCAAACGAACAGCAAGTGAAAAGGCAGCCAGCAAAACTATGGTTGGTTGGTGTAAGCGGTTACAGCGGGCAGACGCACTCAAGCTCTTGTGTATCCCTAATGTGCGTTAGCGAGCAGCGCCAATTCCAAACCCCAAGTGAAGTTAGGTCCTCTTCCACCTGATATTTCCTACGGAGTGGCAGTCTGCCTCTGAGACCAGCAGTTGTTACTGCATCGAATACTTTTAAAGCTTAAGTTGCCCAGACCGATGACATGTCGTTTTCTCCGATTTGTGGTTTTGCGTAAATGGAGGGACCTATATTTTATACCAAGCTGCCTCCGAACGGCTTATGCTTTTTTCATGGAGAGCTTTATTTTATGTTTAAAATACACTCGGAAGGATCGAAATTCCTTGCCTAGGAGCGAAGGGTATTTTAAAATTCCACACTTTACAGCCGGCCGAAAAACTAGTGACTTGTATGGCTGACTTTTTGAGCATTGAAAGTGGGCTTTACCTTTGAACTACCTACTCTGTAGAAAGTAGCGCCTGTTTGGCAAGAGTGGTTACACGTTAGATTCCGAAGCTGTTGCTGGTATTAATGCTGATGCTCCGATAGACGATAGACGTCCCTCATGTTATATCTTGAGGTGACGTTCCAGCTAAAACGTGATTGCGCTGACTTTTTGTTCGGTGGCAGGAGATGTTGTTGATCTCATACCCGTTCATTACTAACCTCATATGCCGACAACAGCTTCGACTCCGAATAAAAAGCAGCAGAGTGGTCGTCCCACAGTTATTTGGTGGGACACCCTATATTGGAAGTGATTAATAACCTTAAAGTTCCTTTAAGATCTATAATTTTAGGCAGACCACTCTACAGGTGCTTTACAGTCGAAGGTAAAGGCCAGGAGATTTTTCTCTTCCTCTGCTTTCACCGGTGGGTGCAGCTTAGAATATATTCAAGGCTGGCGCACTTGTTACGCCCTCATCAGGCACGCACATCTAGAATACTGATCGAGTTGATGACGCGATTTTCTATGCCATGGCAGCCATGTTGCTTGATGGATTTTCTTGTGCAGAAATCTGGTACTACGTACAACCGAGTTTCGGGCTCCGGCGAAGTCGAAAAACCTCGGGCCGTTTGAGATGTCTCGTTACGGACGCTGAATTCCCGACTATTTTACCAAAAATATCTCTTTACCCACCCTGGCGTTAAAGTCACATAGCACAATTATCACATAGTGGCGAAGGCAGCACTTATAGAAAGTGTCCTTGGTCACATCGTCATTCTCATTCGTCGGTGAGTGAGCATAGATCAGTTTGATCAATCAATTTAATGTTTTGATGTGAATTGCGGATAGACGTTCATCGACCGGAGTGTATACCAGTACTCGAGGATGGACTCTCTGCCCCACCAAAAATCCAACACCAAGTTTACGCTCCTTTATACTTCCGCTGTAGTAAATTTCACAAGGATTCACCTTCTTCTGTCCATAGCACGGTGATGCCAGCCTTTAATCTTACTAGGTCATCAGCCAGCTGGGCAGTGGCACCTTCTCAATTAAGTGAACGGACATTCCCGGTGCATACCCTCAAGTCGTTCTGGTTAAAACATTTGTGGAAGTCGTCATAAAAAGGTGCTCTCTCATCCTAGGCTTTTCGATTTTTCATTTAAGTATATTTTTCAAGCGATGAGTCCTAAACGCACTTCTCACTTTAGCTCGCCTCCAAACGGATGTTTTTCGGCTGCCCAAAGAATACTTGGTCTAAGACCATAAATTATGAGCTGCTTGAACCATACCACACTCAGGTGGATGGCAGTCAAAAGCCTTCCTCATTTGTTTGGACTCCTACATATCTTCCACACATTGTACGTTTAGTCCAAGTTCTTGCCTACCATCACGCCGTAGCACTGAACTCAAATGTCTAAGGGTTTAAGGTGGCATGACAAACCATTTCTTTGGAACTTAATCTTGGCGAAGTAAAATACTGGGAAATTACCTTTTCTCATAAATGTGAAAGCCAATGACAGTGTCAAAGCAGCTTTTTTTATAAGAGAAACAGAAAATAATAACAATAAGAAATTTGGGAAGGCAAAATCAAGAATAATTCTTACAATAAGAACAAACAAGGCTTTTCTTAAAATTTAAAATCAAATTAATTCCACTCCATCTCAAATATTTTTAGGTTAGATTTAAACCAAAAAGTATTCATTTCAATTAAAAGTTCATTCCACTGAGCATCTTGACTGTCGCCTTGATTATTTATTTGTTTGTATATCTTTGCAAAGCCTTTAATGGAAAACTGCAACGCAATTTGATTTGGTAACAAGAATAACACGTAATTCAATTAAAATACAAATTCCGCAGAATTATCACCTTCACGACGCACAGTGGGGTCAAAGTGCTTAAAACACGCGCTATGCTGATGTTGCTTTCTTCAAATTTCGATATTTGACCTACAAATCTTCTTAATCGACAGGGAATTAAAATGGAGACCAGCAAAAGCAGGACAGCTGAGAATTGTTCAGCTGAAATTCCACCATCAACGCAAACAGAAATTCGCCTTGAGATTCTCTTCGCGTTTCGGCGTAATTTACAGCCAAAACAAATATTCAGTGAATGCCAAATTGCATATGGAACGATTGCGCCGTCTTTAAAGACTATTTCTAAGTGGTTCCGAAGATTCCAGATCGAACATTTGTCCGCAGAGGAAGAGCCCCGGGAAGTTCGACTAAAATCTTCCACTGATGACATCACTACAACTTTGGTAAATTCCAAAATTGACGAAGACACACGATTGACACAAGAAATGATTACCTGAGAATTTAGCTTGAATTCTCTGGCTGTAACGCGTATATTAAGTATTCGGGATAAACGAAGATATCTACTCGATGGGTACCACGAATTTTAAATGAGACCCAAAAAGAAGCTTGAAAGTATTTCGCTCAATTTTTCTCAAACAAATTCGAAAATGCTCAGTCTAGTAACCTTAGTAAAGTCGCTACTGATGATGAATCTTGTTACAATCCAGAAACCAAACAGCAGTCCATGGTGTGGAACCCAACAAGAGGAAAGCCACCCGTAAAATCTAAGCAACAAAAATCAGCAATGATGTCAGTTTACTGCAGCCAACAGCAGATCATAGCTGCCATTTCACTGGAAAAGGGTCAGACGGTGACAGCAAAATGGTACACCGAAGAAATGTGTTGGAAAAAAGAAAGAAAGAGGATTTGCGGGGCTACTTTTTACATAATGGCAACTGGTTTTTAGCAAAAATTAAAAAAGACTGTTTTCAGATGTGGATCTATAGCCTTAAGAAATGAAATCAGTGGCGATTATGTAGGGAAGATAAAAAAGGGCAAAGATTACGAATAAATACAAAACGATTTTTTTTTTGCTTTTTCTGGTCAACATACCGAATTTTTCTTAATCCCCTCATATATAGCAAGGAGGTAATCCAGCAATATTTATGTCTACTGACCGTCTGCCTGCCTTTCTGTCCGAAAACCATCGGAATCGGATGACTGCATTATACATCCCTCTTACAACCGATTTTTCAGCTATAAAATTTTAGGTTAAATTCGTCAAGAAAGCAGGCTACACATACAATTTTATATATTCATAAAAGCTATGTATGTAGACTTCCTTTATCTGGATCTTAAAAATAACCACTTACTGTTTCAATATTTAACTTTTACCACAAATATTTATGTTACAACTGGATCTGACGTTATTGAAAACCGATTACACAACTTCGACTGAGTTCTTTAAAAATTCTATTGCAATAGTGCGACCCAATCAAGTCCCACAAAGGGAATTCGCTGATTTTATAACCCCGCAATTGCATTGGCCACCGCAATAGTCAAATGGTTCCTACTTTCTACTGCTATTAGGAAGGCCAGGGTTCGAGTCCTGTTACGACTAACATACAACATTCATTTTTATAATTGAGGTCGCCTCTCCGCTCTCAAGCTCTCCGAGTGTATTTCTGACTTGAACTAAAAAAAGCTCTTCTTAATAATCCATCGGTCTACGAGGGCGGCTTATTATGATCTATAGGTCGCTCCATCAATTGGAAAAACATCAAAATGAAAACCACAAATCTCTTCAACAGTCCAAAAAAAAATATAATTGCAATTAGTTCAAGGATTACTAAGAAAATTTAAAAGTACATACCAACAAATTTTCGTTAAAAAATGTTTCAATTTAGCAAATTTTGGTCTGAAGAGGTAATTTCAAATGGAAATATTGGAATATAATGAAGGACACTGCAGATAAGTTTGGCACAATTTGCTTATATCAAAGCTCATAGCTTATGGATCTGAAGTGTTTCGTTTACCTGTGACGCGTGAAAAATGTTATGATCCAAGGAAAATGTTTACTTTTTCAGACACCAATCAAAAAATTTTCAAAACCAAAAAAGTCAACTCAAAATTGTCCAACTTTGGGTGGTTACACCCTCTGGAATGCGTTACTCAATTTCGCGTTTAATCACCATAAAGCTTTTCTGTTGGTCTCATGTATGTTAAATAAGAAAAA